ATATCTCCTGCTGAGCAGCATGGTATGACTCTTCAGTGGTGCAGGAGCCATCAGAATATCTGGAACAATTCAGACTATAAATAAGATTATTGTAATACACACTGAGAACCAAAAGCGGCTTGTGGTGTGTGTGTGTGTGTGTGTGTGTGTGTGTGTGTGTGAGAGAGAGAGAGAGAGAGAGAGAGAGAGCGTCTCTATACTTCCATCCTGGCTAAATCTGGGTGGTACTTAAATAGATGACAGAGAATTGCCAGTGGTTTGGAATGTATTAATGCCAGCAAAATTGGTGTCTTACAAAGATATCTTTTAAGAAGCACCCCCATAATACTCGCTTTCTGGGAAATTGCTTTTTAAAAAAAAGGCATAGCTGTTAATAATTGAAAGAAAATGTTTTGTTTTTTACTGCCAAAATAGAATTAAGAACCAGTTATCTTTCATTTCTTTCCTAGCAAGTACAGCAGCTTCAGTTTTGCTTAGGGCGATCCAGCAAGATGCTCAAAATCTTCTCCAATACATGGAGAAGTAACATAGATGGAAACTGGAAACCCAGCAAAATAAAAGTATCACCATCAACCCGTTTTCGCTCCCCGCACCTTGTCAAGAAATTTGGCAGAATATGACTTGATTCTAAGCTCTGCCTAGGACATTTTTAGTCACATATGCTTACTGAATAATTCAATTTCCCACTATAATTTGAATCAGCAAAGCAAAAGATCTACAAATCCTTTCCCTCCCGCAAGTTATCTCCTCACCTGCCTTCTGAAATATAGGCACACACAAAACTTCTGAGACTCTCCGACAAAACCTTCCCACTTCTCTGAGATCCTGCGAGGGAAGAACCAGCTCTCAAACTGTAGACTCAGAGGGCCAGCGCTGCGTTTTATTCATGCACAAAAATAGCCCACAGGAAAACCAACTACATTGCTCAACAGATGAAAACATGCAGGGGCCGTCGCCTGCAAATCTCTAAGATGGTGCAGCAAGGCTTGCGTGACACAGCATCCCTGCTACTGAAAACCACCACTTCAGCAATTTGCGCTATCACAGATACAGGAAACCACAAAAGTCACACACCACAACAAAGCAAGCATCATTGAAAAACCCTGTCTCCCAGGCCACTTGCTATCACCGCTACAGGATTCTTCTAAAGCACGTGAAGACATGTCTTCCTGCCAGCGTATTAATTACTATCAAACCTTGATTTTCCAATTTGATCATTTCTTCCCCAATGGGAGGAAATCAATGGCCACCTGCCATTCATGCTTTAGCTGAGAGTCCTGCATTGCAGGGGTTGGGCTAGATGACCCTCGGGTTCCCTACAAGTCTATGAGTCTATGATAATGGGTTGGCTCCAGATCCCTTGTCAAAGGGCTCCCTCACAACCTCCTAGAGTGGATTTGCATGGCTGGAACCCTTCCTTGCCTGGATGAAGAACACAAGAGGGGTGAATGAGAGTTGGTAGAAACTAGTCTATGGCCTTGGCCATGTTCATTGACCTCCATCATGGCCTCCAGCCCTGACCATCAATAACCTACCTTTGAAGGTGACTTGGAAACTACAAATAATCCAGAATGCGGCAGCTAGACTGGTGACTGGAAACAGCCACCGAGACCATATAACACCGGTCCTGAAAGACCTACATTGGCTCCCAGTACGTTTCCAAGCGCAATTCAAAGTGTTGGTGCTGACCTTCAAAGCCCTAAATGGCCTCGGCCCAATATATCTGAAGGAGCATCTCTATCCGCATCGTCCAGCTTTGAGGGCCTTCTGGTGGTTCCCTCCCTGCAAGAAGTGAGGTTACAGGGAAGGCTCCAGTACTTTGGCCACCTCATGAGAAGAGAAGACTCCCTGGAAAAGACCCTGATGTTGGGAAAGATGGAGGGCACAAGGAGAAGGGGACGACAGAGGACGAGATAGTTGGACAGTGTTCTGGAAGCTACCTGCATGAGTTTGACCACATGAGGCAGTGGAAGACAGGAGTGCCTGGCGTGCTCTGGTCCATGGGGTCACAAAGAGTCGGACACGACTAAATGACTAAACAAAATCTATCTATCATCTATCTATCATCTATCTATCTATCTATCTATCTATCTATCTATCTATCTATCATCTATCTATCTATCTATCTATCTATCTATCTATCTATCTATCATCTATCTATCTATCTATCTATCATCTATCTATCTATCTATCTATCTATCTATCTATCTATCTATCTATCATCTATCTATATCTACCTACCTACCTACCTATCTACTGTATAAAAGTAAGAGTCACATCTGTTGCCCACTATTGACATGTGGCCCCTGAAAGCTTGTCAAGAAGGGAATGTGGACCTTAGACTAAGGGAGATTCCCACGTCCGCAATAGTGGAAAGAAGGACCTCCTGATTTCATGAGGAGTGATTTCATCACCCTTTGCAGCAGCTGAATGCCACAGTTACTCATAGTTTCTGCGCCCCCGATTTCATGGAAAAGGAGACGGACTCATCTTTCTTAGCTTCCTCTTTCCACAGATGAAACAAGAGGCAACCTTGCACTTGCTAACCACAGTGTTTACTTTCATTTTTAATCAAATGCAATGTTTATTTAGTCTGAAACAAATCAGTAATAACCCCCCCACACTTTTAAATGAGCTTGAATTAGTCACGAATGTTCAGCTTTATTAAATAAGCAAACTTGTTGAAATGGTAAATGGTATTACAGTATTTATTACACTTATTTCCTATTTACTTATCATTTTTCATTTTACATCAATACATACCAATTAACAAAACTGTAAATAACATCGAATTGACTCTCCCTCCCCGCAATCTGTGGTTCTCTACTTCTGCATATCCACAAAAATTCCTTGCATATTTCTTCTAAAATTTATTTAATTATTCTTTACAGCTCGTTTTACATTAGCTCTGCTAAAGTTTTAAGCTGTTTACAATAACTTTTTGTATATCCAATAAATTTCCCCCAGTCTTTATTTAAAAAATTCTCTTCCTGGTTTCTTATTCTCCCCGTAAGTTTGGACATCTCCGCATACTCCAGCAGCTTTATCTGCCTGACCTTCTTGGTTGGAACTGTTTCTTCTGCCCATAAATCATCCTGGCAGCCATTTCTGAATACATAGATACGGTAGTTTTTTCTGATCCTTGGGTACAGCTTGACCTATTATTCCTAAGGACACAAGTGGCGCTGTGGTCTAAACCACTGAGCCTCTTGGGTGTGCTGATCAGAAGATCAGTGTTTCGAAACGCCACAATGGAGTGAGCTCCCATTGCTCTGTCCCAGCTCCTGCCAACCTAGCAGTTCAAAAGCACGCCAGTGCAAGTAGATAAATAGGTACTGCTCCAGCAGGAAGGTAAACAGCATTTCTGTGCGCTCTGGCTTCTGTCATGGTATTCTGTTGCACCAGAAGCAGTTTAGTCATGCTGGCCACATGACCCGGAAAGCTGTCTGTGGTCAAACACCGGCTTCCCCAGTCTTTTACCTTCTTTTACCTTTTACCTTTATTCTTAGAAAAAAGGATTCTGGTCTTCTTCTAAACGATACCTTCAACATTTTCCAGCTCATTATAAATCATCTCCCAAAAAGCTTTCACTATCTGACATGTCCACCACATACAGTGGTACCTCGGGTTAAGAACTTAATTCGTTTTGGAGGTCCGTTCTGAACCTGAACCTGTTCTGAACCTGAGGTACCACTTTAGCTAATGGGGCCTCCCACTGCTGCCACGCCGCCAGAGCACAATTTTTGTTCTCATCCTGAAGCAAAATTCTTAACCTGAGGTACTGTTTCTGGGTCTGTAACCTGAAGCGTCTGTAACCTGAAGCGTCTGTAACCCGAGGTACCACTGTATGTTAATGGTACCTCCCATTTTTCCTTACATTCCCAGCACATATCTGATTCAGCTTTATACGTCTTAGCCAATTTACTAGAAGTCAAACACCACCTGTACATCGTTTTCATATAGTTCTCCTTCATTTCCACATTTGATTCTGTGCTGACAAGAAAAGGGCATCAGATGGGGAGCAAGGAGCCAGGGGTTGACAGAAACCACAACTTCCTTTCTGAAAACTCCCATTTGTACTTACTCAGAAATGTATTCTGCAAAACAGCTGACACGAACGCAAAACCCAAGGAAACCTACAGCTGACTTGAGATTTAGATGTGTGGTCATATTATTACTCATTGTCTTCGTTGTCAAGGCAATGAAGAAACATGGGCTGACTTCCTGACACAGGAGGACCAGGAATAGATTTTGCAGACCTGCTAAGTGCATCTGGCTGGTTCTGAGGTTCTGCTGGGTTCTCATCGGAAACTACAGCATCCCTGAAGATGTATTTTTATTTATTAGATTTATATGGCAGCTATAAGCTCCTGCCTTGAAAGCAGGAGAAAGAGAATGCAAACGCTGCTAAAAATTGCTGTGACTCTCAGTATTTTGTGGGGGGAATTCAAGTTTGAAAGCACATCAAAGTGCAAGTAGATAAATAGGTACTGCTCCGGTGGGAAGGTAAACGGCGTTTCCGTGCGCTACTCTGGTTCGCCAAAAGCAGCTTAGTCATGCTGGCCACATGACCCGGAAGCTGTACGCCGGCTCCCTCAGCCAATAAAGCGAGATGAGCACCACAACCTCAGAGTCGGCCACGACTGGACCTAATGGTCAGGAGTCCCTTTACCTTACTGTGAATTTAGATTTTAGCACAGAATTCCAGATGAACGGAATCTAGTCTGCCGGCTGTGAAGGAGAAGATCCAAAACAACTTTCTATTCCTGGCTTCTTACTGAGCTGCGTCATAACATTTCCATTTCTCAAAATCTACAATGCAAGAAGCTATCTGATGTAAGAAGTCTGTCACCCTGACACTTTTAGGCCACAAGTCACATGATTATCAGGAGGTGCAGAAATGTTGCTCTTGCCTAACAAACGAGAGGTGAGTCATTCACATGAAGTCAGTTTGAGCCTTGCCTGTTACTGAGGCGATTTGCACACTGGGGCTTTTCTCCAAATTGACATCATTCGCTCACTCATATTGCAGAGAAACTAGCTAATGCCAGCTGAGGTTCTGCAATGCTATTCCTTCTCCTTCATTACGTTTCAATCAGCTGAGGGTTAATAGTGCAGTAATATGTTATATAAAAAAGATACACGAGCTATAACATCTGTTAAAATTAATCATTACATCAGAATGTCTGCTGAAGTAAAAATGTCTTCCCCATGCACGTTTATCAGGGAGCTATGAAACAAAACTTCCTGGCAAAACACTTAGGCTAGAATAAATCACAGACACTTAGTTTGGCATATAAGTTAATATTTTACTCAGAGTCTCCAGAAATTACAGCAAACAAGGCTCCATCTGCTGGCAGTAAAACAAAGAAAATAGGTTCCAAATGACTTAAAAATTAAAATGCATGGTTTCCTTACAAAAGGATCATGCAATCTATGGGTTAACAAAGATACAGGCTTTAAAATATCCCTTTTGGAAAGGTTCAGTTCACTTGGTTTTTCCAAAATTGGCCATGGCAGTTGCCAAAAAGGAAAAGACAGGACCATTTGCTTTGAAGGTTGTTAAGGTCAAATGGACCAATGAGGACAAAAAATGTAGAAGCCAGGCAGAAATTACAAGGACCCTTTTTTGCACAACCAGAGAAGTACAGCTCACAGCTTCTGTTTCATTGCTGAAGACACACCACTTGGCTCTGCTCTTTGACAATGTCAGTGTCCTCCTTCCAGCATGGAATTATCGTTTTGGGGTTAGGGAGAGGCAAGTTGTTGTCTATTATTCAAATTGTGTTGTGCTTCTGTGCTATAAGCTGATCCTGGGATCTTCTTGTGAGGAGTGGTTAGTGTGTGTGTGTGTGTGTGTGTGTGTGTGTGTGTGTGTAGAAATCTTTATTTATATTCTGTTCCTTCCAACGTCATCGGCGAACAATGCAACATTTCAATAAATCACAATTTTAAAAAGTATTCAGTAATTAGGTAGAAACAAGACAAATCAACAGAGGATACAGGTCATTTCAGAGGGCCGAGTCATAGGAACGTGATATTCTGCAAATCGGAATGTTTCTTGCAGATTTTGGAATCTTTTTTTTAAAAAATGAAACTAACTTTACAAAATACTATAGAGCAGGAATGGGGAACATTTGGCCCCTGGGGTTTCTGAACTATAATTCACACCATCCCTAGCTGCCAATCATATTAGCAGGGGGCTGCTGGGAGTTGTAGCTGAGCAACATCTGGAGGGCAAAAGGTTCTCCACATCTGCCAAAGTGTATGCCATCTGATGCCCATGCTTGGGTTTGCCAAGAAAGAATGAAATAATACCTGCTGGCAGTGCCAGCTTCCACTTCTGGGGTCCTGGGCAAGACCACAACTTTCCTCACACAGCTGCCAATGGTCCACCCCCTGGCCACCCCCACTGCTGCTCAGGGGGAAAAGGATGTTTTGGACTACAACTCCCATCAGCCCCAGGCAACACATGCTGGCTAGGGCTGGTGGGATTTGTAGTCCAAAACACCCGAAAGGCACCATTCCAGCAAAGGCTAATATGGGGTGTGTTTTCAAAACAGCAAGCGTAGCTTCCTCAGAGCTGCCTCAAAAGAAGCTACCAGTTCCCTCACATTGTTGTTATAAAGCCCGTCCAAAAATATTACCCTCCATTAAAATTGTAGTGGTGCCACTAGTGGAATTAAGGGGGATGGGGAAGAGAGAAGGGGTGGGTGGTGAGAGAATAATAATAATAAAATCAGAGCACTGTCAGTACTATAGTTCAATTACAGGCCATCACTCGCAGCCAAGCAGATAACCGCATCAAGACCATCTATGTATAAAAGGTTGGGGTTGGGGTATCAGTCCCTGGGCCCAATATATTGCAAAAATTTCTTCCACACATCAAAATCCAGCGAGGCCTCCAATTTCTCAAGGGCTACAGCCGCTGACATCACAATGCCACCAGAATTATCTTCCGTGCCATTGCTCTCGCATTCATCGCTGTCACATTCTTCCTCAAGCCCAGCCTCTTCTTCGCCACTGTCTCCTTCGTCCTCGCCCACCGCAGTTCTGAGGGAGGAGAACACAGCTGTGTATACCAGATTGCCAGAGAGGGCTTTCCCCATGGATCACACCCCGCTTGCCTCTAAGCGCCTTGGGCTGCCTACTGGGAAGTGTTAACGGAGAAATCCGAGGGCTCCCTTGGGCAAAAAAACAAGGACACCAGCCAGGAATACCAGAGCAAAACAGGAGCCAGTAGGCTTGGTCTTTATTAAAGACTGTCACGACAGGACTCCCACCTGCCACAAGGTGGAACAAGATGGAAGCCCGGAACAAAAGATAACCCAAACTTTTATTAGCTGCTAATCCGTATGTTACACTCCCCCAAACTACATCACTCATACATCATGGTTACATCATGAAAGGGGAGGTCTGGTGGCAGTAATCTGAACATCCTGGACCCTGCCCCATAGTTCTCCTTGCCCTCCACCGAACACCCATCAAGTGTAACAAAAAAGATATTTACATCTCCCTGTTTCCCAGCCAAGTTAATCACACCCTTTTGTCTTCATCTGGGTTTGTTATTTCTGGAATGGCTACCTGTCTGGCACTCAGGTATCAGGCAGAGGGGCTGCTGAATAGCTGAGCTCACATGTCCATATGAATTTCTGAAGTTTTCCAAGTGAGCCAGTACATAGATACATTTATCAGTGATACATTTGGTATCGTGCAGCAAAGGCCCTTTGAATAGATAGGAAGAAACTGTGATGAAGTGTTTTGCGGGGACAAATCACAAAAGTCAGAAAAGTGATTGTGCTGTTTTTGGTAGTGGACGGCATGTGCATGATATCTGCTGGAGGCGCACCACCCCCCCACCCTAAGCATAAATTCCTGCAACAGTAAGGTAAAGGTAAAGGGACCCCTGACCATTAGGTCCAGTCCTGGCCGACTCTGGGGTTGCGGCGCTCATCTCGCTTTATTGGCCGAGGGAGCCGGCGTACAACTTCCGGGTCATGTGGCCAGCATGACTAAGCCACTTCTGGCGAACCAGAGCAGCACATGGAAACGCCGTTTACCTTACCTATTTATCTACTTGCACTGGCGTGCTTTCAAACTGCTAGGTTGGCAGGAGCAGGGACCGAGCAACAGGAGCTCACCCCGTGGGGATTTGAACCGTCAACCTTCTGATCGGCAAGTCCTAGGCTCTGTGGTTTAACCCACAGCGCCACCTGCGTCAGGGTCAAAACATTGCAGGCCTTTCAGTAAGAAGCCAAAGTAGCCCCCAAATGACATCAGCTTGAGTATTTTGCTCACGGAGGCACACCTTGCCCGATTGTTTTGTTTCCCTGACTTGATATAGTTTGGCGGGTTGGCTAAACAAAACATGGTTAAAAAAGGGTCAGTTGGCTTCCTTGCTGGTGGTGGTGCTGCCCAGCTGGCACAAACCCACAACAGGGCCTTCTTAGTAGTGGTCCCATGCTTACTAAAAGCCCTCCCTGGTAAGGTAGAATCATAGAATTGTGGAGCTAGAAGGGACCCTGACAAGATGGCCATCCCGCCTCTGCTTAAAAACCTCCAAGGAAGGAGAGTCCACAATCTCCCGAGGGAGACCATTCCACTGTTGAACCGCTCTGTTACAGGTCTGTCCCCCTCATTATTATTTTTGGGGGGGCAGATTTCTTCTACCCTGAGAATATTTGGGGGGAAGGCCACAATAAAGGGGCAAAGAAGGGTGTGATAAAGATCTAATAGGAATTAAATCATCACATTATTCATTTAGTATGATAAAACACATGTTACCGGCTCTCTCCAAAAATGGAGGGAGTGGAAATTATGAAGTTTCAACTTTCGATAAAGAAGGGCAATTTGCACCGTACCTGGTGCTTTTCAGACAAAAAGTGTTAATGGACATTGCTGGGGGTCAGGTAGGAGGAATCCAAAGGCACAATCTAGTCAAGGAGAAAATGCACAAAAAAGTGCACTTGTCAACATTACTTTCAAGGAAATCTGGAATTTTATCATACATCTGTCCAGAGCAGCGATGGGGAAAAGAACCTTTTCGGCTGGAGGGCCAAATCTTTGTCTTCCCACAAACCCTGCAGGCCAAATCTAACGGAAAGGTAAGACCACCCACCTGTCAACCATCGGACGTCAGGTAATTAACCATGTGATTAGCAGGTGAGTGGTCCTGCCCACCTGTCAAACTTGGTCCTCAGGATTAACTCCTTGCACTTCAGAGAACGAGCAGCGAGTTCAAATCCTGATTAACAGCCATAGGATCTAGCCTTGTCTCTTGCTGCCCCTTGCTGGATGTCACATTCGATTGCTGCTGCCGCAAACGATGGAGGGAAGACCTGCTCTCTGCTGCAAGGCCCATTTCCACCTGGCCTAGGGGGCAGGGTCCACACCCACCCTGAACAGCTAAAAGAGGCCCCTGGGAGGCCCCTGGGACATTGCTGGAACAACTCTTGGGTTGGGGCAACTGGCTAAAATATTTTAAACGGGTCTAATTTTGATTCCTCCATTTCATTTTTGTTGGGTTGGTGTTGGTTACAATGTTTAGTTGGAGTTGGCGGTTACTTAAATTTGGGTATTAACTGTAAACTGTTTCTTATTATTGCTATTACTGGTTTTTTATTGATTTATCGGTTTGGTATAGGATATATTGTTTTCTAATGGCTTGATGTTTTGTTGGGTTTTATATGTTGTAGGCCGCCCAAGTGTTGCTGGGGAGACTCAGCCAGATGGGCGGGGTATATAAATTAACAAATATTATATATATTATATTATTCTTTGATGTCAGGTGTGGGGCAGGCGGACGTGGTTTGTGAGGGGCCGAATGGGAAGGCTGGTGGTCTAAATCTGGCTTCTTTGGGTAATGGACTAAAGGTGTTCAAACCAAGGGTCTCGTGGGAAGAGATATTTTCTGAAGACGTTATGGCACAGGGGTGAAATATGAATTCATGAACTTACTCGTACATCAGTTGCTTGAAGCCCTGCATGAAAGAGAACAATTGAGATGTAGTCAATGAGCTCTTCCTCTCTTCACCGCCCCCTCAAAACATGGAGGAATTAATAGCGCTCCCCTCACAACACCAGAGCTCACGGATGCAAGTCCAGTCAGGCCCAATCAAAGTCAATTTCTCCACATTCCTAAAGATACTTCTACTGTTTTTCTGTATTTGATTACATACATATGCTTTCGGGTCCTGAAGTGTTCACCGCTCCAGTACTTTATATGTTGAGCGGTATAAATATTTGCACAAACAAAATAAGCAAGACTATAGTAATAATTAGGATTCTTTATCAAGTGCCTACAAAGAAACACCCAAGGGGCAACTATACACAAAAGAAAAATACAAGCAAGTGTAAAATGATACAGGCATAAATAAAGTCTTGTGATTGCCTGTAAGAAAGCTTATTGCTCATACATAGTAAATGAGGAGACCGGTACCCTCAAACACTGTTGGACTCCCATCATCCTTAGTCATTGGCTAGGTTGCCCGAGGCAGATGGAACTGGCCTTGTTACAGGTGCCACGTATTAAGAAATCAGTGATGGAAGCGCCTTCATTGTACAGTGGTACCTCGGGTTACATACGCTTCAGGTTACAGACGCTTCAGGTTACAGCTCCGCTAACCCAGAAATAGCACCTCAGGTTAAGAACTTTGCTTCAGGATGAGAACAGAAATCACGACAGCGGGAGGCCCCATTAGCTTAAGTGGTGCTTCAGGTTAAGAACAGTTTCAGGTTAAGAACGGACCTCCGGAATGAATTAAGTACTTAACCCAAGGTACCACTGTACTCCTTTTGGCGCCAAATAAAAAGATTTTTGTTTATGCAGGCCTACCCAGATACGTGTGGCACTGACATGTAACTGAATCTGTTTTTGGTTTTTTTAAGCTTACTGATCATTTTAATCATTGTTCTATGTCTTAAATGTTGTATCCAAATGTTGTGTTGAGGCCCAAAAGTTGGGAAAGGTTACAGTATTCCCCCCCCCCGGGATAAACCTTGGGTCAGATTGATAACTCAGTTGGTTAGAGTGTGGTGTTGATAATGCCAAGGTTGCAGGTTCGATCCCCGTATGGGACACCTGCATATTCCTGCATTGCAGGGGGTTGGACTAGATCATGGGAAGGCAAACTAAGGCCCGGGGGCTGGATCCGGCCCAATTGCCTTCTAAATCCGGCCCGTGGACAGTCTGGGAATCAGAATGTTTTTACATGTCCCTTACATGTCCCTTTAATTTAAAATGCATCTCTGGGTATTTGTAGGGCACAGGAATTCGTTCACCCCCCAAAAAAAATATAGTTCAGCCCCCCACAAGGTCTGAGGGACAGTGGACAAGTTTTGCTGACCCCTGGACTAGATGATCCTCACAGTCCCTTCCAACTCTACAATTCTATATATTGTGCACATATAAAGAAAGGCAACCTTAGAGCAGAGCTTTCCAAACTGTGTGTCACGACACGTTAGTGTGTCAGTTGCAATGTGTAGGTGTGTTGCTCAAACACTCCCCATACTCCTCCCAGCGCTGGAAAGGGGTTAGTTTAACCTCCAATTTGCTAGTAAAACTGAATTACTTTGTCGCATGTCTAAAAAGTGTGTCACCAACATGAAAAGTTTGGAAAGCCCAGCCTTAGGGCTTGATAACAACCGAATATGTGAATTAAGAGCAGGGGTCAGCAAACTTTTTAAGCAGGGGGCCAGTCCACTGTCCCTCAGACCTTGGGGGGGGGGCGGACTATTTTGGGGTGTGTGTGTGTGAATTCCTATGCCCTACAAATACCCAGAGATGCATTTTAAATAAAAGGACACATTCTACTAATGGAAAAACACACTGATTCCCGGACTGTCCGCGGGTCGGATTTAGAAGGCGATTGGGCCGCATCCGGCCCCCGGGCCTTACTTTGCCTACCCATGGTTAAGAGTGATGAGAAAAGCAAATTGGCAGCCATATTAAATCAGATCTAGTCTAGCCGTATTGCTTAAAGCTAGCTATCATTATCTGGCCACACTACCGTATTCACTCAAATCTAATGCTCACCTTTTTTGGGCCCAACTACGTTGTGAAAATTAAGGTGTGCGTTAGATTCGATGGAGCATTTACATTTGCCATAAAATGCTTTTTTTGGTTTTGTTTCAAGGTTTTGAAAATTGAGGTGTGCATTAGATTTGATGGTGCGTTAGACTCGAGTAAATACAGTATGTTCCCCTCACCCACTTTCCCCATATCAGCTCATGCCCAAAGAATCCACTTAACCTACTTGTGGAACCCAATAGATTCCATGCTCTTCCCTGGCTCTGAAAATCTCATCCAGTCTTTTAAGGTAAACCATTCATAAAAACCTGCTCTTACCTTCAGGAAGGCCACATGGTCTGTCGTTTCTAAGGCTGCTTTAATCCTGGCAATCCTCTTTGTATACGAAGATGCTTCCTCTTTCAGATGTTTTACGGCTTTCCGCATATCCTTCAGGTTCTTCTTGCTTATCTTCTGGACTCTGTTCTTAACCCTTTCTTCCTTCTCATGCAAGATCTGGCGGAGAGCCTCAAACTCTCTGGAAATGTGGCTCAAGGTGTCTTTGGTGCAATTCTGCAAGTGGTAGAAAAACCGAAGCAGCAAGGAGATATTTTTTTTAATCTTAAAGAGAAAAACAACAGCAGCCGTGCAGCAAATACCTTCCAATTTACGAAATCCGTTTTTAAAATGTACAATGGAAATCGTTGAATATATTCAGCTTCTAAACTGCAGCTGCTACACGCTTTATTATTGCAACTGAGGATCAGGCTCACTCAAGGACAGATGGGGCAACTGAGGATGGTAGTTGTTACAACGCCATATACGGATCCGCAGGGGTGATTCAGATAGCCATTTGGAACATGGCACTCCCTCAAAAATTATGGGCCTAATTGAAAGATATGTGTTTGCTGGTCCTGAATGGGGTAACTGTGTCCCTGAAAGACCAGGTGCACAGCCTGAGTCTCATTCTGGACACACAAGTTTTTCATGGAGGAAGCAGCTGGTGAGGTGGTTTAGCCAAGACTGAAGCTCTTTCCTTTTTGCTTGATTTTAGTCAGACCTGCAAACAGGAGACCCACCAGCCAGAAGCAGACTGCTAGCCACGTATTGATGTCTTCTAGAGTCTCAAGAAACCAACACTTTTCAGACTATTGCTAACTTATACCTCATGATATCATGAGGTATACTGTAAATAGGGAATCATAACAAATGCTATTTAAATACAGGGCTGGTTTTGTATTTCAGTTATCTAATAGATGTATTTGGGTATCTCTAAAGATATTGTAAGCAAATGTTTCACGATTATTCCCCAGTTGAAAGAGCAGGTTTTTTGGTCTATGTTTGGATACAATTGGACGCCAATTTTGAATCAAGATGGTGGACTGGTCCTTTCAAGACTGCAGTAACTTTACCCACCAATTTCAAAGCTGCACCAATTTTTGTTTGTTTGGTTCTTAGCATTCCTGAGCAATGCTGGGTACAAGACAGCTAGTTTATTATATTTTTATCCTACCTTTCCAGCAACAAATTCAGGATGGCCAATATCATTCTCCACCATTCCTCTACTTTCACACATTTTAACCTTAGGCCAAGAGATAGAAACTGGCATAAGGAATTCAACCTTGAACCTATCTTGGAGTAGACCTTTGAACTGGCCTACCCATCTTGCCCCATTCCTACAACTGAAATCTTTTACTTACTCCAGGTACAGGTCTGTGTGATGTATATCATTTACCTCCATCTCTGAAATTTCTTCTAGATGTAAAGATTCGGCGGCACCAGCGGTCTCTAGGAAATTCTCCAGTTTTCTAAGAAATGTCTCCAATTCCCACTGTGTAGCAGAGAAAGCCAGAGACATTGAGCATAAAACATGTCTATTTTTCGTTTATCAAAACAGGAGAGGCAACACTTGTTACCCATATTGAAAATACACTAAATCATATAACCATTAAAAAAAAAATCATCAGGATCCTTGCCATGGGGGGTTTGAAGGCCATGGTGGGGGTTGGGCGGTGGGGCGAGAGAAAAGGTAGCTATAGGAAACTCTAGAAATACATTTGTGATATGGTGTTAATGTGTACTTATTTGTGTGTGTATGTGTGTATGTGCATGTACACACACACATTTTTATATTGTAAATTGCTTTAAGATCTCTTAAAATACCAAGTGGTATATAAATGAAAATAGTAATATAATACAGGCTAAAAAGGTATATTACAGGGCTAAAAATGACTATGACAAGACTGTATATTGTATCCTTGCTTATTTAACTTATATGCAGAATTCATCATGCGAAAGGCTGGGCTGGATGAATCCCAAGCCGGAATTAAGATTGCCGGAAGAAATATCAACAACCTCAGATATGCAGATGACACAACCTTCATGGCAGAAAGTGAGGAGGAATTAAAGAACCTTTTAATGAGGGTGAAAGAGGAGAGCGCAAAATATGGTCTGAAGCTCAACATCAAAAAAACGAAGATCATGGCCACTGGTCCCATCACCTCCTGGCAAATAGAAGGGGAAGAAATGGAGGCAGTGAGAGATTTTGCTTTCTTGGACTCCATGATCACTGCAGATGGTGACAGCAGTCATGAAATTAAAAGACGCCTGCTTCTTGGGAGAAAAGCAATGACAAACCTAAACAGCATCTTAAAAAGCAGAGACATCACCTTGCCGACAAAGGTCCGTATAGTTAAAGCTATGGTCTTCCCAGTAGTGATGTATGGAAGTAAGAGCTGGACCATAAAGAAGGCTGATCGCCAAAGAATTGATGCTTTTGAATTATGGTGCTGGAGGAGACTCTTGAGAGTCCCATGGACTGCAAGAAGATCAAACCTCTCAATTCTTAAGGAAATCAGCCCTGAGTGCTCACTGGAAGGACAGATCCTGAATCTGAGGCTCCAATACTGTGGCCACCTCATGCGAGGAGAAGACTCCCTGGAAAAGACCCTGATGTTGGGAAAGATGGAGGGCACAAGGAGAAGGGGACGACAGAGGACGAGATGATTGGGCAGTGTTCTCGAAGCTACCAGCATGAGTTTGACCAAACTGCGGGAGGCAGTGGAAGACAGGAGTGCCTGGCGTGCTCTGGTCCATGGGGTCACGAAGAGTCGGACACAACTAAACGACTAAACAAAAACGAAAAGGTAAAGGACCCCTGACAGTTAAGTCCAGTCGCAGATGACTCTGGGGTTGCGGCACTCATCTCGCTTTACAGTCTGAGGGAGCCGGCATTGTCTACAGTTTCCCCCGGGTCATGTGGCCAGCATGACTAAGCCGCTTCTGCTGAAACCAGAGCAGCGCACGGAAATGCCATTTACCTTCCCGCTGGAGCTGTAACTATTTATCTACTTGCACTTTTAGGCATGCTTTCGAACTGCTAGGTTCGGGCTAGAAGAGTATAATGGAGGGGTAAATTAGTTTAACAGGAGTGTTGGACTACGGGGAAAAGAAGTGAGAGATGTTACAGCAGGGGTTGCTAGTCCATCTGGGACACTGGGCAAACCTGGAATTTTGAGAAAGTTATGCAGGTCAGGGGCCAGTCACAAATAGGTGCTGTGCTGCGTGTGACATAATGGATGCCACATTTAAAAGAGCATAAACATATACACAAAAACCAGTTTTTAAATTCACCTTGTTGATGAAGGGCAGGTGAGAAACAAAATTAAATAAAAGTAACATATCCTATTGCATTTTCCCACACCCCAGTATTAGCCTCTGACCAGATGGTTTTACCATCAGCCAACCTTCCCCTCTCCCATTTTTTAACTTCTTGTCCTGATATAAGAGAGGTATGCAGAACTGGAAAGTTTGCACAAGGTTTTTGTGACGTTTTCCTTGGTGTTGCAAAATCCCCCTTGGGGCAATGCCTTCATTTTAAAAACGGAAAGCGTAATGCTGGTGGTCAACAAAAGAGGTTTAAAGACTATAGCAAGACAAATCTTAAAAAATGTAGGATAAACACTGACACCTGGAAAACACTGGCCTGCGACTGCTCCAGTTGGAGAGCAGCCTTTACCAAAGGTGTCATGAAGATGCTCGAACTCAGCAAGGGAGAAGCGTGCTAAGAGGAAACCAAGGTCCCCACTGTGGAAGGACGTGTGGATCCAGAATTGGCCTCCACAGTCATTGTTAAGACCGTGTTCATGGAAGACAATCTTACTCGGCTACAAGTGATCTCCAAGGAAGCACCAGCAACCTGGGAAGTAATCCCTATTTAACCCAAGCGAAGCCGACTTCTGTGAGGGGGTGGAGAAGGCACGCACGGGATTGGACCGCACGTCTGAACCCGACCCGCGTGTCACCACTGCTACAGCCGCTTCCCGGGCTCCGAACAGAGGATGAAGCCTTGGCGTCGACTACCTGCGCGTATTCGACGGCAAAATACGCAGAGGCCTTGCAACTGACCTGCGCGTCCTTCACAGCATTTTGGATCGGCAGGAACTCGTGGTCCCGGTGGCGTGGCAGATCCCGGCAGATCACGCAGACGGGGACGCGATGCTGCCGACAGAAGAGCTCCAGCGGCTCCTCGTGCTCCTCGCAGAAGTTGCGGGCGGTGACTTTCTGGGCCTCGTTGGACTCCAGCTCCTGCAGCTCGAAGGGGCGGCGGCACTCCGGGCAGCTCCCTGCGCCCTGCCCGACGGGGACGCAGCTGTTGATGCACAACAGGCAGACGTTGTGGCCGCAGCCCAGCAGGTTGGGCTCCTGCAAGACGGAGTGGCAGATCGGGCACAGCAGGTCCTCAGCCAGGTTGGACGCCATGGTCCCCGGGAGCAGCTGCGAGCGCCCCTCGCCCTTTCAAACGGGAAGAAGAGGTGCGCCCACCCGCGCAGCGCCTTGCTTCGAAGCGCTTCTGCCCGCCCGACGCCGGCTCAGTGGGTCCGCAGTCTTTCGAGTCTTCTTTCTCCGGAAAGAGGTGCGGGTAGCGCAAAAACGCAAAGGGAACTGGAGTAGCCAAGAGCGCGCACGACCAGCTGAAGCAGAGGCCCCTTGTGCTCTTAATTAATAGCCCCTGCCACCAGCCCAGCAGGTGAAGCGTATGAAATTCCTTCTTCGAGGGAACTTTTAAAGGCGCATGAGCCCTGTCTCCGTTTGCATTTGGCAACATTCCGTTGCTCCGACCAGCGAGCCGGCTGTCCATTTCGTAGAGATCATTTTTCTCAAATAAGGCAAGGTCACCAAGGAGAACCAGGGGGGAACCTCTTGATTGTTGCAACAGCGTTCAGCAATGGAGCCAGTTGTAGTTAGAGGGGCTTAGACACTCTTGGTGAGGATTTCAAGCCCAAACCAGTGCTTTATTTTTTTAGAAAAAAAGCCATGGAATCCTTTGCCCAGTATGGCTGAATCACGAACCTGTGAAAGGTCCGTGCTTACGACCTAAAGCTAAAATAAACAAGGGAGACTTTTGGATATATTTAATACCCCCAAACCAAATAAAAACCCTAAAGCTAAAAATACAGGGGGAGGGCGAAACTTTAAACGCTAACACATTGTGGCTTATTGCCCAACCCTATGCATTGAAGATATCCGGCTTAATGTCAGAATAGGCTTGTAAGCACATTTTGAGTAACAAAATTCAGCAGTACATATTACTGTAAAATATTGTTATAGGGTCGTTTGGAGCAGGGGGGCAAGAGCTCCCAAACACTTAGATTTAGTAAAGGATTAGAAATTAAGGGATAAATTCCTGAATTTAGCTGTTCTTAGGAGGCTAGTCTGGTGATGGTTTACTGGGGGGGGGGCGAGTCGTTGAAGAACCAATGGTGCTGAGGGCCAGTCATAAGCCCCTCAAGGGAAGATAATTGAATCTGTGAAGTGGGGTTGTGAGGGTTACAGGGGCACGATGACACCACAGGGAAAAGGGCCTTTTGAAACAGAGGGTGACAAGGGGTGGTGATGTAAACCAGGCATAGGCAAACTCGGCCCTCCAGCTGTTTTGGGACTAAAATTCCCATCATCCCTGACCACAAGTGGGGAAGCTGCACAGCCAGGGCTAGGAGGCCTTGGCAGGCAGCCGACAGTGCCAATCCTCAACCCTGGGCTTGAGAGGTCGTAAGAACCTAAGGAGGAACACTGCTGGTTCAATGGCCAATGGTCTGTCTAGCTTAGCGTTCTGTTCTCACAGTGGCCAGCCAGATGGAGAAGCCTCCACTCTGCCCACTTGGGTTTCCATCATTTCAGCACCTGCCGGACTAAAGATGTCGTATATCTAATAAGATGCCTGTGCAATCTACTCTATATTGAATCAATCACACGGGCGGGCGGTGTTCAGATAGGGGAGCATCATTCCCACATTAGAAATCAGGTTATGGATGCATCACTCGTAGAGCATTTTGTGACACACCAGCAGAGAGACATGGACCTTCTTTACATGGTTCTTTGGGTAAATCAGAAACAACAAGGGATGAGGAGAGATTATGTAAGATTGCCACACCAACAAGAAACTAAAATAATTTTCTTATTCAAATCCCTGTATCCTGGGGGTTTGAAGACGGAATTGGACTTTGTTTCATTTAATTGTTCTGATTATATGGCTACTGCTATCATTCACTGCATTAATTGTTGGATTCTGTATCTTTAAATTTTCTGAATTTGTACATGACTCAGCACTCTCAGGATGGCCTATTTAATGCCTCTAAGAGTCGGCCCCCAGTATCAGCTTTCTACGCTTCTTAGTGAGTGCTGATCTCATGCTATTTGATGTACCTGTTATAACCATTCTACGTTTTTTGATCATCCATTGAAAGGCTTGTTTGCCTCTTTCAATACCAATGGACCATATTGTCTAATTTTGTTCATGCAACAGTGATAGACTTTTAATTTCTGTGTGTTTCCATTACATATTCTCTGTTTAAGAATTGCTACACTTGGAGCTTCTATTATCGCATGATTGCAGGATCAGGACTAATGAAAGGCTTGTTTGCCTATATGATATTGAGTGACTACCTACTCTAAGAGGCCCATCAGGAACTCTGTTGGTTTAACTACATGCTGTGCAGTGCTCCTTTTTTCTAGAAAAAGAGGTGCCGCAACTCACCACTATAAACAGTTTACAGCAGCAGTATCAGCAGGGTTACATGTGTGCGTGCTAGGCCCTGGTTTGGGGATCGGAACTGGTTTGTGAACTTTAAATAACAGCCCTGTGGTGTGTGCGCCAAGGTGGAAAGCCCCAAGAAACAGCCTGTGGTCTTCTTTTTCTTTTTGCAAGGGAATATATGGACATATAACGAGACCAAGAATGAGAGTTCAAAAGTTTTATTTTCTGGTACAGTGGGTAAAGAGAGATACCAAAGGAAGATGAAAGACTGTTTATGTACGCAACAACAGCGGCAAGAGTTCTCCTAGCCCCAAAATGGAAACTACAAGTACTGCCAACAAAAGAAGAGTGGCAGATGATGGACTTTGTGGAATTGGCAAAGCTGACAGGAAGAATCCAAAACCAGCCAGATCAAGTATTCCAAAAGGACGGGAGTAAATTTATATGATATCTAAAAAATTACTGTAAGCAATTAACATCACTAGCAGGGTTGTCTGAAGACTCGTAGTGAAGAATTTTCCCCCTTTTCATTTTAACATAAATTTCAGTGACTTTTGTAATGAGCTAATCAGAACTGGGAAATGTATAAAATGCAATGATATAAAGGTTTACTTTGAAAGCCATGAGCTGGGAGGGAAGGAAGTCTATAGGCTCAAAAGAGCCAGAGAGGTAAAGTGGATAGCAATGATGTGATTATATATTATTAAATGGAAGACTAATAAAAATTATATTTAAAAACCACACAAAGGTCTTTCCCCCTCTAAATACACAGCTGGGACAACCTCTCCCTTATACTGCCCTATGCAGTATGGTACATCTCCCTACCTCTGAGTATAATGTGTAAAGGCAGAGTGAGAAAACGTACACTCTGTACAGTGTGAGAATGCAGAGTGAGATCAGTTCTCTTCCTGGGGTTCGATACCTTGCAACAGTTTCCCCCAAGCTTCAAAATCCAATGCTACTATGAATTTCTTGAGAGATGGAAACACCGGCACCACATTTTTCTCATCGTCTCTAGAATGTTCCTCCTTCTTCACTACTTTCACTACTTTCACCCTGTTCTTCATCAGCCTTCTGATCTTTCTCTTCAGCTGCATTCTTGTCATCTTTGTTTTCCTCCTCCTCTATTGAGTCTTTGGCTCTGAGAAAACAAGAAGCGTCTGTTTACTGGGAAAGGATGATCTGCCCCACTGCCCCCCGCCCAAAAAATGAGGCCAGGCTGATCTGTGGCAAGTCCTACAACTGGTGGGAGAGGCCACTAACTTTCAAAGAGAAACCACATTTTTCAACTAAGCCAGAGCAACCTGGATGATCAACGTTTGTGGCTTGACAGGTGTTCCATCAGAATAAACTTGAAAGGAGGCTTTCGGCCAGGTGGAAGTACTTGACATTATGTTAGAGCTATGTTAAGTGCTGCATGGAGCCGCCATTTTAATTCATGCCCACCCGATTGTGGAAAAGCAATGATTCCGCCCAATAGACTATGTAGATGGGAGAGTAATGTGAATGCAGGAAAATGGTCTTTTTAAAAAACTGAGCTGCGTTCATTTGGGGATGAGGACTAAGGGGCCAAACCAGAGGTGGGAAACCTCAGCCCTGGAGGTCATTTTGCATTTATTGCTGCCCTGTCTGATTTTGCCTCTGGCTCTGCCTGTCACTGGGATGTGGCCACAGACGGTTGCCCCAAAATGAATGTTGCTCTTGGGCTGAAGAAGCCACACCCCCACACCTGCCACCAGGTGAAACCAAGGACGCAAGGAATGTCAAAGAAGGGAACCACAGAGGTGCCACACAAGAATGAATTCCAGACACTTACTGCTGCATCAGCTCCTGGAAGTCCTACATGAAAGATAAACAAGTTTAGTGTCTTGATTTACAGCATCTTCACAGTCAATTTGAAAGAATGACTAGAAAGGGCTTCCTCTCGCTTCAGATGTCATCTGGGAGCAGCTGTTCACTTAGACTGCCTCAGCAGGAGACATTGGAAGATTTGCTGGAAGCCCAGCTCCACCCAGAACCTCCTGCCCCGAACTGTGCCAACTGGTCATTATAGGAACAACCATTCGGAAATAGGCCTCTGCGTTTTGCTTTTTATTCTCCTCTCCTCTTCCCTCCCTGTCCCTTTTTCCTTGTGTGCCGTGGTTTTTGTTTATAGATTACAAGCCTGTGGGTAGGGACTGTCTTGTTTTGGCTATATGTAAACTGCTCTGGGAGCCTTCTTGGCTGAAGAGCAGGGTACAAGTGCTCTGAAGAAAATAATTAAATAAATGTGGCAGCCAGGTCACCATCATCACCATAAAATATGGCTATTGTTATCATTTCCTCAAACAACATCTAACTGGCAAAAAAGGGTAAACTGAAGATAGTAAAAAGAGACCCTAGTTTTGGCAAGGAACTCCTCATGGTTTGGCAAGAAGTGATCCAGGGTTTGGCGACATCCTGTTTGGGTTACTCTAGTCAAGTGCCTCATACTGGGCATGCCCTTAAAGGTGGTTCTGGAAACAACTGGAATGTGATGCCAAGCATGTCTGCTGGATTCGGATGGTATAAGCACCTCATTCTCTTGCCTTCTCTGGCTTCCGTTCGGTTTCTGGACTCAGTTCAAAGGGCTGATTTTTGACCTTCATGATCTGGGACTCCTGTACTTATATCTAATCTTCAGTGTGTGGGCCTCATCGACCCTCCAAGAGGTTTCCTTCTGCCTCCCCACCCCCCGCTTCGCTCTCAAAGAGCCAAACAATTTTGGCACTAGCAAATAGATAGGCACAAGGAAGAATTCAACATTGCGCTAAGGCGACAGTTCCATCAGCGCAAGCATTTTAGCGTGACAGATGAACGAGCAGCCCTCCCCTTCTCCCATGTGCTATTCCGGGGTTCCCCCTGACCACCCAAGTCATTTTTAGAGGGCGCATGGGAGAAAGCCCTCTTGCACCAGCAAGAGTCCTTATCTGAGCTTCCAGGTAAAGGTAAAGGGACCCCTGACCATTAGGTCCAGTTGCGGATGACTCTGGGGTTGCGGTGCTCCTCTCACTTTACTGGCCGAGGGAGTTGGCGTAAAGCTTCTGGGTCATGTTGCCAGCATGACTAAGCTGCTTCTGGCAGTGGCGTAGCGTGGGTTGTCAGCACCCGGGGCAAGGCAAGTAATTTGCGCCCCCTAACCCGTGGATTTGCGCCCCCTAACCCGTGGATTTGCGCCCTCTAACCCTAACCCCCAGATGTTGCGCCCGGTGCGGCCGGCCCGCCCTGCACCCCCATGCTACGCCACTGGCTTCTGGCAAACCAGAGCAGCGCACGGAAACGCCGTTTACCTTCCTGCTGGAGCAGTACCTATTTATCTACTTGCACTTTGACGTGCTTTTGAACTGCTAGGTTGGCAGGAGCAGGGACCGAGCAACGGGAGCTCACCCCATTGTGGGCATTCGAACCACAGCCTTCTGATCGGCAAGTCCTAGGCTCTGTGGTTTAACCCACAGCGCCACCCGCGTCCCGGGCTTCCAGGAGTGGGACTCATTCATTGAATCCCACCCACAGTGCTGTTATGGATGGAGCCCAACACCCGAGTTGGAAGAGTTGCTAAGAGTCTCCTATGCCTCTCACAAAGCAGTTTAACAATCAACCTCTCTTCCCAATGAATTCTGGGAACTGCAGCCATATTAAACCAGATCTAGTCTAGCTATATTGAATTGGATATTGTTATTTGGCCAAGAACTTTCAGTCCTACATCACCACACACTGGACCGCATGGTGTTTTGCAGGTATGCCTCTGATCGGAGCTGGTCTCACCTTCAGAAAGGCCACGTGGTCTGTACTTTCTAACGCTGCTTTAACCTTGTTAATAATCTCAGTCAAGGATGAAATGTCGTTTTTCAGGCATGAAAAGGCATCTTGCATTTCCTCCAAGTTCTTCTTCCTCTTCTGCTGGACAGTCTTCATAATAGCCTTCTCCTTCTCATCCAAGATCTGGTGAAGGGATTCAAATCCTGTGGAAATGTGATTTACGATATCTTCGGTACAACTCTGCAAGTGGTGGGGAGAAACACACACACACAAACGAATTAATTTCATTTTTAGTGTTAGTGAGAAACAAAGCAGATACGCATTCAAGGCAAGAAAAATCAAACATAATGAAAGGGTGATTTGTCCCATCAAGAAGATTCTTGAATTAGAAAAGTTCCTATGGAAAGTAATAATAATAATGATGATGATGATGATAATTAATTTATACCCCGCCCATCTGGTGGTATTCCTCAGGAGAACTTGTGCCTGGATATTATGAAACATAAAAACGGAAATTTAACCTTCATAGCCTGAGGTCAGGGCACCTTGTGATTATCAGGGACAGGGTCTTTTCAGTGGTGGGGCCCTGGCTTTGACACACTTCCCCACAAAAGCTTGCCTGGTCCTGGCACCTAGAGTCCAGTGTCTTTCCAGTGCCAGATGAAGACCTTTTAAAAAATTTCCCAGGCCAAGCTTATGCTGATCTGCTTCACCTGCACTCTTTTGATACCATTTTCAGGTTGTCTTCACAGATTTCAGGTTTGTTTTATATCGTTCAGCCTGGACACTGATGTCCAGCACTGAGGGCCTTCTGGCAGTTCCCTCACTGCAAGAAGTGAAGCTACATGGAACCAGTCAGAGGGCCTTCTTGGTGGTGGCCCTCCCATCAGATGTCAAATAAATAAACAGCTATCTGACTTTTAGAAGACATCTGAAGGCAGCCCTATTTAGGGAAGTTTTTAATGTTTGATCTTTTATCGTGTTTTTAATACTCTGGTCGGAGCCACCCAGACTGGGCGGGGTATAAACAAACAAACAAACAATTGTAATGATTAGTTGTTCTATTGTGCTTTCTATACTTTATTGTAGGCAACAGTGAATTTCAAGGGCGGGGTATAAACAAGGACATTAATGCATGCTCTTTAAACCACAAAAAGTGTGGGGAAGCGGAGTTCCACAATCCCTTACTGTTTTTCCTTTACCTTTAGCTCTCCAATTGCCTCCTTTCTGGTGTATTTTCTCCTCTTTGGCCTCCTTTAGACGCTCCTTCAGAGGCTTTAGGTATGGCTTCAGCTCCATCTGTGCAGCAGAGAAATCAACAGAGGTTAAGAAGGAAGGAAGGAAGGAAGGCTTCAAAAGCATGGAGGAATATGTGGCCAGGTGGAACTGCTGCTTAGCTCCGCCAGGTGGGGCCAAGGCTAGGACCACCTTAGCACAACAGGGGTGCTGCGTAGGGCATGATGGAGACCAGGGAGAATGAAGATATACCGTATTTTTCGTTCTATAAGATGCACCAGACCATAAGACCACGTTTTTGGAGGAGGAAAACAAGAAAAAAAATATTCTGAATCTCAGAAGCCAGAACAACAAGAGGGATCGCTGCGCAGCAAAAGCGGCAATCCCTCTTGCTGTTCTGGCTTCTGGGATAACTGCACAGCCTGCACTCGCTCCATAAGACGCACAGACATTTCCCCTTACTTTTTAGGAGGGAAAAAGTGAGTCTTATAGAGCAAAAAATACAATAATCAGTGCTTTGTCTCCCTTGAAAAATGTTTAGGGTTACTCTCATTTTGACTCAAGAAAATAATCATTTTATAGTTCAAATCAGGGGAAAATAACTAAAGCAAATGGACAAAAGTACAAAGATTCACAAACTGTCTAGAGGTATGCGTACCCCTGCGTCCCCCCCAGGGAAAAAAAGCGCTGGATATAAAGTTTTATAAGGACAAACAAGAAGCATTATGTACAAAACAAAGGAACACAAATCTAAAATAAATATCACGCACAGGAATAATAAAGGACACAGAACTTCACTTGCAGAAATATAAATTATTAAATGTATTAATATGAATGGAAGTTAAAAACGTTGTAGCTGTTGCATTGTTGCAGGTTTTTCCCCAGTCAATGGGCAGACACGGGTTCTTTGAGGAAAGTCTTGCTTTATTAAGCTGCGCAGCTGGCTTCAGCGAGATAACTCTCAAAGGCTGGGCCCTGAACTCAGATTGGAGCTGCTTTTGATACCATGTCACAAACAAACCTCCATGGCACCAGAGCATGTGCAGAGTGTGATCACACAATTTTGCAAGCAAGCAGACGACAGTCTCCCTTCCCTTTCTGCTGACTTCTGCAATTTCTGATGAGGCAAGAAGGCGTTGTCTTGTGGCTTCAGCCTGCAGATGTTCAGACTGCTTATTGGTGTCAAGGACTGCTGAGGCAAGCAGATTTTCTTCAGTCCTCAGTTCCTAATTTCTGCACTATTCTGGTAACTCGAGTTAGCCCAACCCTGGTGACTCACCCACCATGAGTTGGGGTGGCTCTTACAATATCTTCTGCTCTTCTTAGAGCAGTAAAGGTAAAGGACCCCTGACCATTAGGTCCAGTCGTGACTGACTCTGGGGTTGCGGCGCTCATCTTGCTTTATTGGCCGAGGGAGCCGGCGTACAGCTTCCGGGTCATGTGGCCAGCATGACTAAGCCGCTTCTGGTGAACCAGAGCACCACACGGAAATGCCGTTTACCTTCCTGCCAGAGCGGTACCTATTTATCTACTTGCACTTTGACATGCTTTCGAACTGCTAGGTTGGCAGGAGCAGGGACCGAGCAACGGGAGCTCACCCCGTGGCGGGGATTTGAACCGCCGACCTTCTGATCAGCAAGTCCTAGGCTCTGTGGTTTAACCCACAGCACCACCCGCATCCCTCTTCTTAGAGCAGGGTTACTTAATTCTTCCCTCAGTATAAAGGATTATGATTAAGACTGAAATGAAGCAGAGTTACAGTGGACGCTCAGGTTGCGAACGTGATCCGTGTGGGATGCATGTTTGCAACGTGCAGCGGCGCTTATGCGCATGCACGGTTGCAATCCAGCACTTCTGGGCATGCGATTTAGCCCTCCTGCGCATGCGTGACTGCCGAAACCCGGAAGTAACCTGTTCCAGTACGAAAAAATGCAACCTGAAGCGTCTGTAACCCGTGCTATGACTGTAAATGAAACTATCATTCCTTGAAATCTAGCGGGGGGGGGGGGTTCCATGTAAAATGTGTAATTGGCTTTTTAATTGATTGATATTTTAATTGTAATTTGGTATTGATAAAATGTGGCTTATATTGGATTTTATAATAAAAATTATTTTATATGTACTTTTTATATGTACTTTTATATGTACCATTTTTATATATATAAAAAGGACTACCCTAACACGATCCAGTTAAGCAGCAGTGAAGCTGTCGCAGCTCCGAAGCAGCGCAAAAACTACGTTTTCAAAGCCTGTTAGAATCCTTAGCAGACCTGCGCGGTTGTGAATTCCTGGTCTGATTTTTCTGAGCCAACATTCCTTGCAAATCACTTTGCCTGCCTGGGCTGAACGAGGTCAAACCGAGCCTGTGGTTTTGTAAGGCTGTCCTCACATTATGATCATCCACCGCTCCCCGCAGCCCACCCAACCCCGAAGCAGAAATCTTGCCACTGACCTGCGCGCATTTCACAGCATCTTTGGTCGGCAGGAACTCGTGGCCCCGATGCGCGGGCTGATCCCGGCAGATCACGCAGATGGGGACGCGATCCTGGCGACAGAAGAGCTTGAGCGGCTCCTCGTGCTCCTCGCAGGAGCCAGCTGAGCTGGCCCTTGCCTGGGGCTCTTCATCCAGCTGCAGCTTGCGCGCTTTTTCCGCGAGGTTGTCCAGAACCCTGTGGCGCCTGACCTCCCGCAGTCTGAAAGGGCAGCGGCACTCCGGGCAAATCCCTCTGCCCCAGGCATCGCGGGCGCAGCGCTTCAGGCAATCCAGGCAGAAGTTGTGGCCGCAATCCAGTACGTGGGGATCGCGGAAGAGGGAGAGGCAGACGGAGCACACCAGATCGTCCACCAGGCTGGAAGCCATGATCCCAGGGGCGGCAGGATCGTCGCCTGCGAGCGCGCTGGCCCTAAGGCACTTTTGCGCAAGGCGCCGCTTGAGGAAAAAGGCGCAGAGTGATTCTGCTTTCAGGTTCACTTCTGCATTGCTGGAAAGGGTGGAGCCGTCAAAGAAATCAGATTCACGGGGGTCATCATTTTCTCGCTGCTCACAGTAGTGCCTCATTCAGCTGCACTCTCCACACCCAGTTCCCTTGCACGATCCTTTTGGAGATTCATGTCTCCAAAAAGGTCTCCTCTCAGTAGAGAACTGGAACCCATTATTGGCATTAGAAAGCAACACCTAGCCCCCTTCATAGTTCAGAGACACTTGGATCCTCTAGGTATTTCGAAGCACAGGTGAAGAAGAGGAGTTTGGATTTGATATCCCGCTTTATCACTACGCGAAGGAGGAAATAACATGCGGTTGTTTGAGCCCAATCCATCTTTCCAATGGACCAATAGAACTGTTCTTGCTGATCTAACATTTCGACCTTTCCTATTCAAAGAATCTCTGGCATTTTTATCCTTTGTGCTATGTCAATCCTGCAAACGTTTTTAGATTTTTACAGTGTTCTTTAATATAGTCTATAAAGTTACGCCATTCTCTATTAAATTTGTTATCCTCTCGGCGCCTGGTCTTCCAATGAAGGACAATAATTTGGATAAATGCAATTAGACGCAGTTTAAAAAGGAAGATAAATTTTGGAAGCCAAAGGAGGGGTGGTGGGAAGTCTGGGGGTTCAGGGAACCACATAAAGGTACTATCGTTTAATGTAAACCTCTCTCTCTCTCTCTCTCTCTCTCTGTGTGTGTGTGTGTGTGTGTAAAAAAATGTTTTTTTCTTTTTGAAACTTTTTTTTGGGGGGGAATCTTAAAGCAATATCCAGAGCCTAGTTACCACCTCCTCTGCCCCCCAGTGGTTTCCTGATGTAAATCCCTCACACTGGGATTGAAAACAAATCTTCTATTTTTATTTTTTAATTAAATAAAATTATCCCGATGTTTATTTTTTTAAAATTTTTAATTACATTTAGACATACAACAGGTAACAGTTGCATAAAACGAGGTGAAGCAAAAAAAAAGTATACGCTCAGATAAACGTTTCTGAATATGTTAGCAAAGTTGCGCCTATATATCATAATCACTACAGAAATGTTTATTTTTATTTATTCAATTGATATACAATGACACTTGTAAAGTAACATGAATTTTGGATCCTATGATTATACACTAGATAGATTACAGTAAAAGATGCAGGAATAAAATTTAAAAATGGAACCCATGAAGGGAAGGAAGGAGGTCTGAAGGTTCGAAAGAACCCTTAAATTTTATTTTATTTTTGAAAATGTTATGTTTGTTGTGTACAACTTTTATGTAAAACTAATAAAAAATATATGAAAAAAGGGGAAAGACTTTGGAGGGAGGACTTCTGGGTTCACAAAACACAGTGTTCCCTTCCCCCAGGGCAAAAGTGCTACCTATAACAGGAAAAAACAAACACTTAACAGTGGTACCTCGGGTTACAGAAGCTTCAGGTTACATATGCTTCAAGTTACAGACTCTGCTAACCCAGAAATAGTACCTCGGGTTAAGAACTTTGCTTCAGGATGAGAACAGAAATCGCGCGGCAGCAGTGGGAGGCCCCATTAGCTAAAGTGGTACCTCAGGTTAAGAACAGTTTCAGGTTAAGAACGGACCTCCGGAACAAATTAAGTTCTTAACCTGAGATACCACTGTAATTTTGAAGGCTAATACCTCACCTTCCCATCTAATAATTCCCAAGGTGGTTTACGAGTTCTACGAAGAACTCAGAAGCTCACATTAAAAACAAAACAAAAAAACACCACAAACCCAAGCCAGCAGCCCTCAGTCCTATAATGTCTGACGTTTGGTGTGTTCTCTTATATTCTATTGGAAGCCAGAGTGGCTGGGGCAACCCAGTCAGTTGGTACAATTAATAAATTATTATTATTATTATTAATCTCAGTGTTGTGGGTTCAAGACCCACTTTGGGGAAAGATTCCTACACTGTGGCACAAAGCAGGCAGCTTTTACCATCAGCCAACCTTCCCCTCTCCCATTTTATTAACTTCTTGTCCTGATATAAGAGAGGTATGCAGAACTGGAAAGTTTGCACAAGGTTTTTGTGACGTTTTCCTTGGTGTTGCAAAATCCCCCTTGGGGCAATGCCTTCATTTTTTGTGCATGTGAACTTAAAAACGGAAAGCGTAATGCTGGTGGTCAACAAAATAGGTTTAAAGACTATAGCAAGGCAAATCTTAAAAAATGTAGTGTAAACACTGACACCTGGAAAACACTGGCCTGTGAGCACTGCAGTTGGAGAACAGCCTTTACCAAAGTGTCATGGGTTTTGAAGACACTCGAACTCAGGACACAAGGGAGAAACATGCTAGGAGGAAGGCTCACTTGGCAAATTCACACCGTGATCAACTTCCACCCGGAAACCTTTGTTCCCATTGTGGAAGGACGTGTGGATCCAGAATTGGCCTCCACAGTCATTGTTAAGACCGTGTTCATGGAGTACAATCTTACTCGGCTATGAGTGAGCCAAGAAAGCAGCAGCAACCTGGGAAGTAATCCCTATTTAACCCAAGCGAAGCCGACTTCTGTGAGGGGGTGGAGAAGGCACGCACGGGATTGGACCGCACGTCTGAACCCGACCCGCGTGTCACCACTGCTACAGCCGCTTCCCGGGCTCCGAGCAGAGAAAGAAGCCTTGGCGTCGACTACCTGCGCGTATTCGACGGCAAAATACGCAGAGGCCTTGCCACTAACCTGCGCGTCCTTCACAGCGTTTTTGATCGGCAGGAACTCGTGGTCCCGGTGGCGTGGCAGATCCCGGCAGATCACGCAGATGGGGACGCGATGCTGCCGACAGAAGAGCTCCAGCGGCTCCTCGTGCTCCTCGCAGAAGTCGCGGGCGGCTGCTGGCAGCGGCTCACCGTCGAGCTCCAGGCGGTGGGCTTTCTGGGGCACGTTGGACGCCAGCTCCTGCAGCCCGAAGGGGCGGCGGCACTCCGGGCAGCTCCCCGCGCCCTGCCCGACGGGGACGCAGCTGTTGATGCACGACGGGCAGAAGCTGTGGCCGCAGCCCAGCAGGTGGGGCTCTTGCAAGGCGGAGAGGCAGATCGGGCACATCAGGTCCTCAGCCAGGTTGGACGCCATGGTCCCCGGGAAATGAGCGAAACTTTAAACGCCAACACATTGTGGCTTACTGCCCAACACTGTGCATTGAAGATATCCGGCTTAATGTCAGAATAGGCTTGTAAGCAGTTTGCAAAATATCTCTTTTTAATGTTAAGGCTGCTGTCCTAACCGCTCTTCTTCCAGAGTCAATCCTATGGACTCCAGTAGGGCTTACCTCAGAGTAAAGGTGAGCCTTCTTTAGCCTGGGGGCCTCCCGCTGCACTCCTGGCAGGGACTGATGGGAATTGTAGTCCATAACATCTGATAGGCATCAGATTCTGGAACACTGCCTTAGATCATTCAGTTTCATTTTAGCTGTGTGGAATCTGCAGCTTCTGGGTGGTAGATTTGGGGTGGGGGGAGAACCAGGGGGAGAACCCTCTTGATCGATTGCAACAGCAGTTCAGCAATGGAGCCAGTTGTAGTTAGACGGGCGGTAGATACTTGGTGAAGGATTTCAAGCAGAGAACCAGTGCTGGTTTTTGAAAGAAAGAAAAAAGTCCTGGAATCTTTTGTCCGTATGGGGCTTGAACACACGAACCTGTGATTAAGAGTCTCGTGCTTTACCGACAGAGCTGTCCCAAGAATCATAGAATCATAGAATCATAGAGTTGGAAGAGACCACAAGGGCCATCGAGTCCAACCCCCTGCCAAGCAGGAAACACCATCAGAGCACTCCTGACATATGGTTGTCAAGCCTCTGCTTAAAGACCTCCAAAGTAGGAGACTCCACCACACTCCTTGGCAGCAAATTCCACTGTCGAACAGCTCTTACTGTCAGGAAGTTCTTCCTAATGTTTAGGTGGAATCTTCTTTCTTGTAGTTTGAATCCATTGCTCCGTGTACGCTTGTCTGGAGCAGCAGAAAACAACCTTTCTCCCTCCTCTATGTGACATCCTTTTATATATTTGAACATGGCTATCATATCACCCCTTAACCTCCTCTTCTCCAGGCTAAACATGCCCAGCTCCCTTAGCCGTTCCTCATAAGACATCGTTTCCAGGCCTTTGACCATTTTGGTTGCCCTCCTCTGGACACGTTCCAGTTTGTCAGTGTCCTTCTTGAATTGTGGTGCCCAGAACTGGACACAGTACTCCAGGTGAGGTCTGACCAGAGCAGAATACAGTGGCACTATTACTTCCCTTGATCTAGATGCTATGCTCCTATTGATGCAGCCCAGAATTGCATTGGCTTTTTTAGCTGCCGCGTCACACTGTTGGCTCATGTCAAGTTTGTGGTCAACCAAGACTCCTAGATCCTTTTCACATGTACTGCTCTCTAGCCAGGTGTCCCCCATCTTGTATTTGTGCCTCTCATTTTTTTTGCCCAAGTGCAATACTTTACATTTCTCCCTGTTAAAATTCATCTTGTTTGCTTTTGCCCAGTTCTCTAATCTGTCAAGGTCGTTTTGAAGTGTGATCCTGTCCTCTGGGGTGTTAGCCACCCCTCCCAGTTTGGTGTCATCTGCAAATTTGATCAGGATGCCCTTGAGTCCATCATCCAAGTCATTGATGAAGATGTTGAATAAGACCGGGCCCAAGACAGAACCCTGTGGCACCCCACTAGTCACTCTTCTCCAGGATGAAGAGGAACCATTGATGAGCACCCTTTGGGTTCGGTCAGTCAGCCAGTTACAAATCCACTGAGTGGTAGCATAGTCAAGACCGCATTTTACCAGCTTCTTTACAAGAATATCATGGGGCACCTTGTCAAATGCCTTGCTGAAATCAAGGTAGGCTACATCCACTGCGTTCCCTTCATCTACCAGGCTTGTAATTCTGTCAAAAAACGAGATCAGGTTAGTCTGACATGACTTATTTTTCAGAAATCCATGCTGACTGTTGGTGATCACAGCATTCCTTTCTAGGTGCGCACAGACTGTTTGCTTAATGATCTGCTCCAGAATCTTCCCTGGTATTGATGTCAGACTGACTGGGCGGTAATTATTTGGGTCCTCTCTTTTCCCCTTTTTGAAAATAGGGACAACATTTGCCCTCCTCCAGTCTGCCGGGACTTCGCCTGTTCTCCAGGAATTCTCAAAGATGACTGCCAGTGGTTCTGAGATCACATCTGCCAGTTCTTTTAATACTCTTGGATGCAGTTCA